TCTTATCTCCTATCCATATCCATATATGTTGATCCAGTACTTGTGTCTCCATTAGACAGTGCAGGTCCTGGTTTCCTCCGAGTGTCCGCATGTTCTGGCGAGCAGGCACCAGAGGATAGGAATAAATTGCTGCTGTCAGTTGACTGGTGCTTTCTTATATCTTGGTGAGGCAACGACATCTCATAATTGGACCATGATTGAAACACCACGTTCAAATATTAGAGCAAGTTCTTATTTTTCTTTTTTGCCCAAGCAGCTTTTCTGAAAGAGCATTTCCCTTACTGCGTTTGAGGAAGCATGGTAAACGGAGCTGAGCTCTGAGGTGCTACCAGCTCTGTGCCAACCTGAACGGGCATGCAGGACTAGCTGCATGGCTGCAAGCGCTGCGTCAGCATCCAGGCTGTGGTGGCTAGGAGGGGCAGAGCGCAGGCACTCCTCGCTTGCTCTTCCTTTTACGTTGATGAGTGCTGTGAACCTGGGAAGGGTTGCCTTCCAGGCCATCCCCATTATTGGCACAAGCTGGCAGGTGCAAGAATTTCTCGATCCGTTGTGAACTGTATCCTCATGGGTGCGTGAGCAGAATCCTATATGGAGGACTAGTCAAGGAGTCTTGCCATTGATTATTAGGTAACTTGTCATGATTTGCTCTTTTCCTTTGAGCTATTTCATCACTGGCTGATTCTGGACATTATCTGTTATTTCTGCTTTATAGGAGCAATTGTTTCTGGCTGTATCCTTTAGTGCAGTGAGTCGTGGTACCACCTGTAGAGACTTGAAACATGAATCATAAACCCATGGCCTGCTCTGTTGCACAGGAAATGTGGAAGTGTCTTTAGGGTAGCTTAATCGTTGTATTTTGATTGAAATGGTGAAATTTTTGCATTACTTCAAAGGTAGATAAGCATCTTGTGGTAAAAGTTAATATTAAAGTCTGGTCCTTTTCAGAATGATATGCTCAGTATCAGCTGTAATGTCTAAATCAAGTTTAAGTAATTTAGCAATGGCTAAAGCAGGCTGTACTCTTGTGGTTCCTGTCCATGCAGGGTCTAAGCTTGCGCATCATTTGTTACTGTTTTACATTTCCCGATAGAGGAGTGGTCCCATGAATGAGGAAGAGAGGAAATTACTTTTATTGATCCACTTTATTCTTTAGCTTTTGGTTACACTTGTGTAAAGGCTTTAGAAGTCAATCTGATCAGTCTACTGTGCTCAACTTCCATGAAGTTTGAGGCTGCTGTGCGGAGGTATGGGGTTCTTGACTGTTGTTTCAAGTGCTGTGGTTTAGGACTTGAAGGCAGATTGTTGCTAGATTGTTCAGCTGCAAAAAGCTTTTTCTGAGCTATTACTTTCGGTGTACCAGGCTTAGGCTGTGGAGAAGAATCAAAGGAGCGCCCCTCCTGCTAGTATGTCTGCATCACTTTTTATACTGGGAAACAATAACCTCACATGTTAAACAGAAAAGGCCACTGAAAATGCTGTTGAGAAAGGAAGAAAAAAAGGTATTTTTTAGGATTCATTGTAGGTCAGTGACAAAAGAGAAAAAGCAACAGTTCTCAAAAGGAAGAGAGTTTGATTTAAAAAAAAAAAAAAAGGCAGATGTCTGATTATTTTTATTCTTTATATGGAAAAATAAAATATGAACTAAACAATGCCAGCGATATGATTCATCTGCTCCTTTTTCTCCCCCATGACATGTGGGAGGCTTCCGGTAATGTTAGTGGAAATTATGATGTATGGGGAATAATTTTATTTTTAAAATAATACTGCTTTACTGCCGAGATCACTGGTGTCTTGTGTGAGCACAGCACTGCACCTGTGCACCACTAACAGGTCGAGGAAAATTCTAAGTTATTTTCAAAGGAGCATTGCTTTTTAGTCTGGTAACAGTACTTCATGGAAGAACAACATAGTTGAGAGAAAAGGGTGCTGACGTTTTTGCACTTTGAGCTCTTGTCAGTGGCCTCTGTCAGTTCTCATTTCTGATCATGGAGGAACCTTCTTCCTCCTTTCCCCCCATTCCTCTTTCATGTTGAAAACTTATAAATGCTGGGAAATTACTTTAATACATTTGTTCCTATTTCCTCAGCTTCTTAAATTTTTAATTAAAAATAATTTGCAATAGCAGTTTTTCGGACAACTTCTGAAGTGATAGATTGATGTACTCTAAGGCTTTGACCTTAGAAGGGATGTACTTCTGCGTTCCTTTTTCTGCAGAAGTGGCCCTTGCTGTCACTTTTTAAAGCTGTGCCGGGGGCTCAGGCATTACAGTTGAAGTTGCAATGCTGTATTTTTTTTATTTCATTTTTTTCAGGGGCCTCAGAGGGGTCGCAATTTTGTTCCGGGTCATCTGTTCTGAGTACCTGCTCCTGTGGGTGTGTGGACTTGGTTAAATCATCCATGGCCCCTTCTTTGTTTTTTAGTAAGCAGATAGTGCCTTCTCTGATGAAACGCTCTTCTGTGATGAAACACGCTGCAGCAAGTCGGATAATTTGCATTGCTTTTTTTGGCCTGTACTCCCAGGATAAACTTTTTGTTGAAGAAAAAACTGAAGTTTCATATCCTACTTATTTCTAAAGTTAAATTCAGAGGGAGAAAAAGCTAGTTAATTTAAATGCAGCTTTTGTGTAGGTGTAGAATTGTGGGTTTTTACTTTTCGATGATGCATGCTTAGAATATTTTCTGGTAAAGCTGCAAATGTCTATGTAATGCATTTTCCTCTGCTAACAGTTGACTTGCTTATTTGCTTTTGTGGAACCCTTAGATATTACTCAGTGATGCTTCAGGTCTGTGGATCATTGATTGAAAATCACCAGGATCCAGATACGTTCAGGCTCACAGACCATTAGACAGTATCGGTGCAATTAAAGACCATTAAAGGTCTTTAATTAAAGGTATCTTTCTTTCTTAATGTAAATTCCACAGGTTTGACTTTGCTGCATAGATGTTGGATACATTTTCTACATAGCAGAACCGTGAAAGATTATGAAGCCTCTGATAAAATCTAGGGCATGGTATAGCTTCTTTTTTTTTTTAATTTTATTTTTTTAATTTTTTTATTAAATTGGTTGTAGAGTGAACACAGGGGCCTGTCTGAAGTTGGGTCCTTATGCTTCATTTTGCCTGGAGGTCTCTGGCAGTAATATCGTGATGGTTATGATTAATCCTAAGTTTATTTTACATTTGCGTATTTTAGTTATTTTCTTAGAGAAGTCCATGCATTTTTGTTGGTATGGCCATTAGAACGTGTTTGCTTTAACCAAATGTTTTCTGTTACGTTGGGTGCTATTTTCTGCATACTCCTAAGATCTACTGTACCATTTTGCTTGCTAAGCAGGGCTTACAGCTACAGAATATTTAAACAGTTCTTAGAGATTTCAAAATTTTTTTAATAAAATTTTATGTAAATAGAAATAAATTCGAACTTAATAAAAATTGAATTTCTGTCTTTATTTTTGTTCCCTCCTGAATTCTTTCCTGAATATATGCACATATGTACACACACAGACACACACACACACACATATATATAGCTTAATTACATAGCTCCTTACTTCATAGCCATAATGCTATCTTAAATGAAACCTATATGAGTATTCTTTCCAGGACAACGTATTCTGATACTATCTAGTTTTTGACACGTTTTGACCACGTGAATTATATAATATCAAGGAAGATGAAGAATATATTTAAATATTAGCATTTAGAGTTCACTAAAACACTGGTAATCATGATAGCTCAGTTAAGTAAGAGGCTGTTCAGACATGTGAAAGTTACCATCTAAATACGCAAGCTGAACATTGTTGTATGTATTTATCAATTTGATACTTTTCTGCTGAAGATCCCTGTCATGTGCCACACACTGGACTTTTTGTGGTGCCCTGTGGCATCAAATGTGGTGAAATTTACACTTCTGTAAAAGAGCTTCCATAGTGGTCTTCATAGCTCTCTGCTATTGCTGTGCATTGAGTTCTGGCAGAAGCTGTCAGAGACCATCGCTTCTCCCTTCCTCCCCTTTTGGAATTGCTCTTCTTGTTCACTTCAGGATTATCTTTATGAGCACCTCTGAGATGAAGCAGCAGTGAGTGAGATGCTGCCACCTCAGGCCTCTCTTACGGTGCAGCACGTCTCAAATAGTTAGCAGCAGGTGATGGGCATGCAAATTCTAGAATATGGCTTGATGTTACTTCAAATTTGTCTTGTGTTTACACTGTTGCCGTAATGCCTGAAAATGAGACAAACTCCTAACTTGAAACAAATTCTCATTGTTCTGGTTTAAATTGTCAACAGGGGCTATGGTCTCTGCTGTTTGCAACAACTGATTGCTGATATTGTGAAAGAGATTATGTATCAAACAGAGTTCTAGCAACGTAGCTCTTCATTTGAACAGTCTTATTTTGGCTTACTATCCATTTAGATTTTCTTGTCTTTGTTGTCCTAGATTGTGTTGTCCTTTTGTTGAAGGAATTGAAACTAAGCTGAAAAATAGCCATTCTTGCTAGATGTCCGATGAAGTGTTGCATCTCTTTATTGGTCTAGCCATATAGGTATAATTATGCTGAGTTACTGGTAAACTTTCTGCAGTGCAAGCCTTCAGATTTCAGTCCTGCTTTGAGCTCAAGGGAGACTTTCATCTGCTTATGCAAATTCATTTTTGAAATTGAATCCTTAGATCTGATTCTAAGGGCTGAAATAGTTTATCTTTACATTCATAGTAAGTCTTCACCATCGCCACATGCACGCACTTTCTTTTTTCTTCTTTTTTCCTTTCCCCCTTCCAGAAGAGTGAAAAAGAACTGACTATAAATATGAATCCGATCTTTAGGCTTCAGTTTTTTTTTTATGACTTCCTGTTCTTTTTCTTTGTCAACATATGTGCCTGTGTTTAATTAGGGTATTCTTTATATCTGTCAAAGTAGGGCTTAGTTGCCATAAAGCTTATGCTTCTTATTTTTATTTTTTTAGCAGCTGTTACAACAATTTTTTTTTTTATTGTTTTATAGGCAAATTTAGAAAACAAACCAGTAAATGGCCGCAGACCAGAACTCATGGAATGCAGTATATGTGGTCATGGTGAAAAATACAGGGTGAAAATAAACCAAACACTACCCCTTGAAAATGTACAGTCTAAGGAGAAAGAAAGAATGACAGGCTTAGAAGCAGAGAAGTGGGCACATAACGAGAAGCCGTCTTTTGGTGTCCATGTCAATGGAGATATCCATGGAACTGTGACAGGGAACGAACACTTGAAAAATGCTGAAGAAAGTGAAAGAGCAGTCTCTCCCAGTCAATTAGCTGAGCCAAAAAAGTCATTTGCACAAACCCTCAGAAATGGCATAAAAACCCTACATTATTCACCACCAGAGTCAGTTGTGTCCCTGAAGAAAGTATCTGCAGAGGAAAGAACAGATTTGACAAGCAACTCCCATATGCATTGGACGAAGGCTGCTAATCTGAATGACATTGTAAACACCCTGACAACTGGTGTTAGTTGCGTTCACACAGGAAAACAAGGAAATGTTTTCATGACACAGAAAAACTGCACTTGTGTGGTCCTTCAAGATTCTGATAAGTTGGTTTTGCAGACTGGTTCCATTTCGGATCTGGAAGAAAGTTCATGTTGTTCTCCACTGCCTGACGAGGAAGCTCCTGCAGAGAAGGATGGCATTAAAACACCCGACCAAGAGACCCAGCAGAAGAATTCTTTTCTCCAGCCCACTTTCTTGTCTCTGATTAAAAACAGAAATTTAACCGTAGAGCAGGTTGTAGCTATTGAAGCTTTAACAAAATTATCTGAAGCCCCTTTAGAATCAATTTCACCAGCTAAAACAGAAAGTACTGAATATACAGCAGAAACAACTTCCAACTTGCTCCAGAGTTACAAAAGGGATATTTCATCCTCCTTTACATCTCCTACGTTGAAGGAAATCAAGGACGCTTACTTGCAGAATGAACAGCAACTCTTGTCTCAGTGTGCTGCCTCACAGAAGCAGCTCCCTAATAAGGCAGTGTTGTACAATGGACAAAGTTTGATTTCTGAATTGCATGATAAACCTGCCAATCTGGCTGGTGAGATGTATAAATTACACTTATCCTCACAGGATACCAAAATTGTATCTGATGTAACATCTAATGCAAAACCATTTTCAGGTCATACTACCAAGAACAGTTATATGCACGATCAGGTCACCCTTGCACGGTATTGCAGTGCTTCATGTAACATCCAGCAAACAAGTAACAACTTGGAAATTCTTGCCCATTTAGAGCAAAAGCCAACCTGCAATGATTTGAACTTGAAAACTAATTGTTCAATTAAAGAAGGAGGAATTCACAGCCAGGATGAAGAGGATGTAGCTACTCAACTAACTCAACTTGCAGCATTAATTGAATCAAACCAGACAAATCCAGAGCAGAAGAATGACATTAAGGCGTCACTGCTCAATCTAATATCACAGGAGAGGCAGCCAAAACATAACCAAGATCAATGCCTGTTGCAGAAAAAACAAACTGTATTTCTTAGGCATAATTATAGTTCCTTACTGTTAAAGCAAAGACAACCAACAAATAAAAAAGGAAATGCTCTACCGTGGAAACCAAGACACAAAAAGAAGCCTCAAGAAACACGCTATCAACAAAATAATCAAAACCAGCTCGAGCTGTTGCCGTGCCAACGAAGTGAGTTACAGGACATTTGGATATCATCAAAACTGCACAGGCTGGGTCAAACCATGCTGCAAGACTCCAGAATAGGTGCATCAGAAAAAAAATCTCCAAGAACCAAAGTACAGAAAGCACTGAATCAAAATACTTCATCATCCCAAGAAAAAACTAGATTATTTCTCCCACAAACTCAGATAAAGTTCCATAGATGTTTACCTGAGGTACCACAGGAGAAAACAAAAGACAGGTTGTTTGGCTGCGAAGCGGTGAATGAGGAAGTCAAAGCTGCAGGCTCTGGTGACCCGCTACGTATTGATCCGCAGAAAAATGATGTTATTACATGTAATCAGTATAGTGACGTGCCCTCCCGTAATCCTGTGGCTGTTTCACAGTTGAAAACAGCATGCTTGTTAGACAGACCAAGTGAAAATGTACAGATGTTTACAGAAAAAAGTAATTCTCAGGTACAGCAAGCAGTGAACAGTGGTCAGACACCTCCTTTGCCTCAGACTCTTAGCCAGTCTAACCTGAGAGCGAACGAAATGCAGAGAGACGACAAATCCTGTTTTCAGCGGGATGCGGTCGAGCAAGTAGATGCAAAGTTGCAGCCACGACCTGTTCCCTGCAGCGGGACCCATGTGCCAGGGGCCGCAGAAGCTCTCAGGAATATCGAGTGCGCAGGTGAAGTTACTGTTCTGACGGCGACAAATTTCGGTACGGACCAGCCACAGAGCGCAGGGGACTCGGGGTGTTCTCCAGCAAAGAACACGCTCAGCAGTTTTCTTGAATCACCTATGAAGTTTCTTGACACCCCTACGAAAAATTTAATAGATACGCCTACGAAGAAAGGACAGTCTGAATTGCCAACTTGTGACTGTGTTGGTAAGTCCTTCTGCTAGTTTTTCTGTATGCGTTTCAGATGGATTTGTGTTCATGTTGCTTCCTTTAATGTGAGGAAGTGCGCTTGACAGTTACTTTTCCATTGCAGAGGCTCAGTGTTTTGCCATTAGGAAACAGGAGAAAAGGTGTGTGTGTGTTTGTTTTCCTTTCTGTAACTTTTGTGAGGTCTTTGGGCCTGCAAAACACAACACTCTTTAATATTTTTGGCCTTGCAGCTGGCAGGTTTAAATTCTCTGGTGTTTAAATGTGAGTAGAAGAAAAGGAGTTTTTCCACTTGTTTTGTCATCGCTGACTTGTGCTCCATGTAAATTTATCTGCAGCGTATCAGATGGTGATTTTCATGGTCTAGAAGTAATTTTTGCTTGAGATGGACTGGGCAGATCTCCCATACTTTTTCATTCCTGCCTAAATACTATTAGACAAGCAGAAGGGCGTAGTTACGGGTGGTCTTGTTACTGTCAACGCTGGTCCTGAGGAGTGATGCAAGTTAACCTTGAAAGAGTACACGTCAAAGGCTTTTAGATATCTCTTTATCGCAGAGATGAGAGGTGAGGTAGACTTCAGGTGATAAAGTCAGAGATGTAATAACTTATGTTGAGGGATGGGATGTCATACCAAACAGGGTGTTCGAAATTTTGCAAGTACAACTTAATTGGTGGTGTTAGACATGTTTTGTTTTCAGACCATCAAAGCACATAGCAGAACAAGTCAGACACTGAACAACAAAGTGTACACAGGCAGTTTTTCCTCTTTGCTTTCGCGTTCTGAACCAACAAAACGCTAGTTAAGAGATCTGGATTATGTTTTCTGTTCTGTAGTGTATGACCATGAGTTAAATTTTTTTGCCTCAATTCTCCTTTGTCTAAAATGCTTCCCTACTCACAAGGGCATTGGGAGGCTTAACTAATCACTGTGTACTAGAACCCATAGTGAAAATTGCTGAAGAATGGAAAATATTAATAAAATTAGGATTAATTTACTGTATTAAAAAAGAGCCATTATCAGATTAATAGGAGCTGTTGCAGGTATGAAATAATTTTGATGACTCTTTAAGGAGAATAGTTTATCGGTGTATTATTTGCTGCATTTAGGTAAAGATTTTGTGTATTTCATCTGGAGGATGCTTCTGTAAACCATTTTAAGGTTACTTTTAATGGTGTGAATTTTTTGCCTGTGCAAACTTAATTTTCTCAACCTGCTTTCAGAGCAAATTATAGAGAAAGACGAAGGCCCATATTACACACACCTCGGGACAGGACCGAGTGTTGCTGCTGTGAGAGAAATAATGGAGAACAGGTGAGCAAAATTCAGCATTTAATGCTAACAGTATTTTTGAATGTATAAACAGGAAAGAAGACGAGCTATGAGAAGTCAGGTGCTATGTTTGGCTTTGTTTTTTTAAAAACTTCTTGGTGTACTCATTTGTAAAGCATTTTCCTGTTCAGATATGCATGAGATGAACACTGGCATGCCAGTTCCAAACTCACTTGTCTTTTTTGAGCTCCCGCAGCTTTAGGGTCCAATGTCACCAAGTGCAGTGTGCTCTTGAAGGTGCTATTGAAGTCAATACGAATGACAGAGATACGCACCTGGCAGGATTGGGTTCTCCAGCGTCCTGCATGTAACCAGCTGTGCAGCTGATTACATGCACAAATTGGACAGGAAGGTCACATTAGTGACTACATGCACTAGGATTCACATGCAGATGACATTTTCTTCTCAAATAATGTCTCCTTAGTAGTAGAAGTTTGTTATCAGAAGAGAGATTTCAAAAAGACTCATGCAAGTAGGGTTTTAAATTTAACGATCTTGGACATTATAGGTATTTTGTTTCTGTTCTGCCCTCAGTAAAATAAAAAAGTTATTCCTATTTTATTGAAAGTGTTCCCTGTTCTAAAATGATCTACAACAGTTTTAGTTGTACTCACAAAAATTTTTTTAATTCAGGTATGGAGCAAAAGGAAGCGCTGTAAGAATAGAGGTAGTGGTTTATACAGGAAAGGAAGGAAAAAGCTCTCAGGGGTGTCCAATTGCCAAGTGGGTAAGTTTTTATGTTACAGCAGTAAAATTTTGTTTGGCTTTTAAATTTCAAATGATGTATAGTCTTTATAACGTGGTCTTTAAGGAAAGTTGGGTTCTACAAGTCTCCCTGAATGATGAAGCTAAGGAAAATGTTTTTATGCTGTGGTGCAATATGTTGTGCTGTAGTTCAAATGAGAGAGTGAAAGAAAGGAGCTTAACAGAGCTAGCAGAAATGACCAAATCAAAGGTAAGAAAATCCTGACAGTGTCTCAGAGTTGGGGTGTCTCATGAATTAAGTTTTTGAGAAGCATAAAAGAAAAGAAGGGATGGATTGCCTGGGGGAGTTGAATAACTAGGCCGTAACATTTTTTAAAACCCTTCTCAGTGTGATGGAAGCAGTAAGGAAGTTCGATCTCAAATACCATGGAGTTCATTATTGTTGTTGAGGAACTGAACTCAATATTTAGAAATGCTGTGATGATAGTTTTCACCAAAGTGTTGTCTCACGTTGCCTCATAGGAGGCAGAAAATGAGACAAGCTCCAGGAAAGAGCTTGGAAGGAGTTGGTTGTCCTTATTCTTTGCTGAAACCATGGAGGGAGGTAAAAGTAGATAGGAAATCTTGGAAATTGAGTTTTGGAAACTAAAAGAATGTAGTTGTTAAATTTTTTATTGCCACATTTAGGAATTTCAAACTTAATTGAAAATTTATGAAGAAAATGTACAGCATGTAGGCTAGTGTTTGTAACTCCATAACAAAAATAAGGATATTGCATACTGTATGTGAATGTTATTGCATACTAAATAATAACTACTTTTATGTTTGGAAAAGTCAAAATGTGCTTTTCATACTCAGAACATAAATTGTTCCTTAGAAAGGAAACCCGTATGTGCATGTGGCTGCAGATAATATTTTTAATAACAAACTGATGTCCAACAAATTTCATGAACAACCAACCCAAAAAGAATGGAATGATCTTTCTGAGCATTTCAACTGACTCAAAATTCCATTTTAACAAAGGACAGGAGTTAAAAATCTCAGCTTAGAAACTCTTAACCTTGATTTTTCTGTTGCTGTTATCAATGTGCTGTCTTTTATGTAAAATAGCAATGAGAGATTTTATTGTATATCTGAATGGCTGTAGGTGTCCAACCTGTGTACAATGCAACAGTCAGAAAGCACTGGGATGCATAGAGAAAGGGCTGTTTTAAGGTATGGGGGACCTGCAGTCCAGTTAGATTTTTAAGTTTCTATATTTAAAGCATTTGACAGAATAATTTGTAATGATAATTTAACTAAGTTTCAATCTTGTGTTATGCAGCAGTGACTTTTTTGTGTGCAAGTTCAGACCTGAAGACGATGAATGCTTTTCCAAGTACGTTAACTCTTACTGTGGGACGTTCAGTGCAACAGAGGGAAGGAGATCACTGAAATCTCCTCTGTAGAACTGTTTCATCTCTATAAAATTCTTGGTTTTGGTTCCTATACTTAGTGTGTGAGTTAAAATTAGCATTGCCAATGAAAAGTTAATTCTTAAAATGGAGCGTATTTGGGTTTTGGCTCTGACCAAAGAAACATAATTGTGAAATTTATTTTAAAACATATGGAAAAAGTTTGCTGTGCTTTCTGATAATTGCAGTCACAAGGTTCTGTCAGTTGTACAGATACTTTCACTTACTCGTTTACAGTGTACTTTGGGACAGACTCATCTCTGCTTTGCAGATGGTCAAGTTTTTGCCCTTAGGGCTGCTGAGAGACTTGCTGGCGAGAGCACCATCATGGAGCTCTGCTGAAGCAAACATGATAAGATTGAATTTATCTGTCTGTCATATTTAACTATTTCCCCAAGTTTGCCTTATTTCCACTAGTTAATCTATTCTTCTGTCAGTTCATTAAGAAGCATTTTAGGATCAAAAGAGGCTTTATAAAATATCTATGTCCATACGTTCTTCTGTTAGCGACTGTATTTTGTAATTCTGATTTTTTCTTAAATTATTTTTACTGAAATGACTCCAAACATGTGCCTGGTGCATTAAATATTTACCAAGACAGACGACTCCTTTCCTTAATAGGCACTGACATTTCTTCCTTAGTTTTCAGGGCACCACAAAGTTCCAAAGAATTTTCCTTTTGGTTCTCTTTTGAGAACAAATCAGATTTTCTGTATTTTTTGAGTATATAATATTTTGGGGAGATATTTTCTCCCTCTGGATGTGAACAAGTATGCTACTATTATCTGAACTTAAATAGTATCAGTAAATAACTAGCCAGGATTTGAAACTTTGTGGCAATTGTACCTGTCAGTGTTAGTTTGACACTCGCATGAGCTAAACTGCAGTGGAGATGAACTTGCTATTTTGTACTACATTCAGCGACAGGGATTTTCAGTAGCTTCTTTGCTTGACTTCTCTGTAAGCATCAGAAATTGCGTAATCTCCTTTACAGTCTTCTGCTGCCAAATCTTAACTTTGCCTGAGATTTCAAATGTGTGAGTATATGTGTAGGTGCTAAATGTGTGATTAGACAATAACTTACCGTTCTGTGACGTCTGTCTGGGTGGATGCACTCCTCTTTGTTTGGGTTTCTTTTGCCTTTTTTTTTTTTTTTTTTTTTGAGTCTAAGTACATCAGATTTCTATGTAATAAGGTTTTTTTAAAAAAAAAAAAAAGCTGTGTAATACTGTAATTCTGCATTAGTAGCTCGTTCATGTAACAGAAACAGTTTCATATTACTGTGCATCCCCTACACCCAGCCAGTGATAGGTGACTCATATCAGTCCCATTGTTTTATCAGTGCTTTAAGGGATAATGAATGTGGCCTCTTTTTTCTGCTCTCCGTGTGTCTGATGGTAAATAAAGATGACCTAGGTTAATTTATGTGAAATGGTTTATGAATTTATATTATCTTTTAAGTTGTTCATAAATAGCTCACTCTAGGTATCATCTTTGCTTCCCTGAAGTCAGACATATATGCCACTGACCATATATGTCAGCTGACCTGAGATCAGTTTCAGGCCTTACAATTTCTGGATTAAACTCATTTCCTATTGGTTCCTTCTGCTGGTTTCAGTGGACATTGGCTTAGGTCAGTTATCATTGTTATCTGTTGTCTCTATTCAGAGTTGCAGTGTAATTTTTAAGGCTGTCTCCTTCTGCTCTGAATAAAGACAACAGATAAGAGTGGCTAGGTCAGAGCAGAGGTCCTCTGAGCCCGTGTCCTGTCTCCTGACTCACCGAGAGCAGAAAGGTGCAAGAGCAGGGCAATTGCATCCCAGAAGACTCCAGTAATTTACAACTCTGGGGTTCCCTGAACTGGAGGTGATGTCTTTGTGCTTACTTGCTTTTCATAAATGTTGTCATCTTTTTCCCCCTGCCCGTTTCCATATCTTTTCCTGGTCTGTTACACCTTTTTGAGTTGGGAGATTAGTACCTCACATAATAACGAGGTTATAAATTAAAATAGCATCATAATAGTGTTTTCAGCCTTGTGCTTCATTCCCAGTAATTCCTAGCAGTTGCTTTGTTTTTTCTTTTTCTTTTCCCCCCGCCTCTGTTGCTGAGCAGTGATCTGGCATTTTCCTAGAGCTTCTTCTCATTATGCCAAATTCTCATTCCTGCATGGTGATGGTCAACTCGGGAGTCCATCTCTATGTAAAAATAGGATTGTTTTCTCCATGTGCATTAGATTTGCACATCTAGAGTGGATTTTATCTGCCATTTTACTGCCCACTCAGCAGTGTGAACTCTTTCATTGTTTGCAGATTGTGCTTGTCTTCACTACTCTGAGTTACTTAGTATCATCAACAAACGTTGCCATCCTGTTATTTACCCTTGACAAACATGCTGAAGAGCCTGGACAGTTCTAAAGAACTGCGGCGGGAACGGCGGGAACGGACCAGCCTGTTTCATGTCTTTTCACCAATTTTTCATGTGTGGTCTTTTGTTTTTATCTGAGGACAGGTTAGTGGGTTTTTGTTTGTTTGTTTGTTTGTTTAAGAGCCTTTAGTGAGGGACCTTACTGAATGGCTTTTGGAAATCCAGAAAGACCTGTCGTGTGACTGAGCATGACTTACCTTCCCAGAAAGTTTCATCGACTTCACCCTGTGGATCACGTTTATCTGTGTGGCCACTAGTTCTGTTCTTCAAAATAGTTTCTGCAAATATGCCCCACACAGATCCCAGGCTAATGTGATCATGAAATCCCCATGTTTCTCCCAGGATCTTTTTGCAAAATTTATCCTCTCATAAACTATCTTCCAGTCCTCTGGAACTGATGTGTTTAAAATTAAGACAGCACGCATCACATTTAATAGTTAGCTGTTTCATCCTTGAGTTTCTTGGGAGTTCTTGGATGGATGCCATCTGATCCCAGCAATTTGTTACTGTTATTTTTGTCACTGTTGTACTGTAACTGCCTCTGTTGGGGCTTTAACTTGAAGGAAAAAAAAAATCCTTGGCTGTGTCCCCTATGAAGGAGGGTTCTCACATGGGAATCTTTCCAAACACCTTGTTTGTGAACACAGCAGAAGTGGTACCTGAATTTTTGCATTGCTGACCTTATCTTCTCTGAGCTCTGTTTTTACACCTGGATAGTCTGTTGACCCTTCAGATTCTGATAGCCTCCTGGTGATCCTACTCTGTTTGAAAATATTTAGTATTGAGGGGGTTTTTTTATGCCTTTTGCAAGTTGTTCCTCAAACTCTTTTATCTTTGTTTTGAATTGTTTATTGGGTTTTATATTTAAAACCTTGCAGTTTATGAGCTTTTCTTTTTCTGTAGTTTGTTCATAGATTGATAGGATACGTAAATAATAAAAAATTAGGGGCAGATTAAAAATAGGTAAGAATAAATGGTTGTGAATACTTCACAATATGTGTAAATTTAACATGACAGTCCTTATTAAGACCCGAGCCTAAAATTCGCTACTGACATTAATCAAGTTCAAAATAAAAAATAATGCTTGGATAATCCAGTGTTACAATCAAGATTTTATAAATCATTGAACTGATAGTAGTCTGTA